AATCTGATGAAAAAAAATCCTACAATGCCTCTAAAATGGACAATGTTCTTGCTTAAAAAACGAGATAGGATCTTGTTTTTTATATCTATACTTATTTCAGGAGATAAGCAGTCATCATCGTTACCAATCATAAGAGCCTACATTTTTGGACAAGTTCTCTCATATACAAATTTTGTTGCCATTTTAAAGTCGCCAAATGCGCAACACTCCTTCAAATGCCCTTTATTAGGACATCCTAAAAGCGGATCCTCAAAGCTGGTATTACTGCCTTATCATTAGAGTAGGTTTGAACCGATAACGTACGTCGCACAATAAGCAATGTGCAAGCAACCTTATTGTTTTAACTTCTAACCGAAACACCACATATCTATAAAGAGAAAACTTTCAAAGGGTAAATGCTCAAATTGCACTAAAATTCAATTCCGTTGCTTTGCACTTATATTCGAAAAGTTGATCGAATGTTTATTTCAGCGGATTCTTGAAAGCACTATAAACATCACAAAACCATACCAGTACGATATTATTTCGCAATGGATTGGCACTGGGTTACTCACAAGGTATGAATACTTTAAAGCTGCAATAAGGAGGTAATTTTTTTTTTTGACTTTTGTTTTTTGCTTTAACAATTGAAATTCTTTATAGTCTTAAATTTGATTTATATTCTTTGATTTAATTTGACATTGGAGATTGGATAACAACATTGATTTTTAGGACAGTTTCTCGCTTATTTCTATAGGGTTTGAAAGGACCGGGGAAAAGAAAGCTTTGTAGCAATTTTAAGATTGTGGAACACCGTAGTTAATTTTTTGGCCAAACGTTTTTGCACGTGATTTATGCAGTCGCAAACAGACGTATTAATGTAGCGCTATCACTCTTATTTCCAGCACAAACGAAAAATGGTCCCTTAGGAGAAAAATGCTCACTCCCACATTCCATTATAACATTCTTCAAGAATACCATGAGATATTCGCACAGCAAGGCGAGGTAACATATCATAGTCGAGAATATGTTGATCAATTTGCCATTGCGATAATGCTGGATCTTTCTAGATCCTTGTTGAGCTCATTGCTAAGGAAAAAGGAGATTTCGACTTGTTCCCTTACGTAAAACGATGCGCGCTTGATATCATATGTGGTAAGTCACGACTGGTTCTCATGAGTTAATTTTAATCTGACTGCGAAAAGCCAACTTTCCTCATTTTCTACGCAGTAGAGTTTGATATCAAGCAAAAAAAGTCAAAAAGGTTACCTAAGACAATCGACTTTAATTCAGAAACTGCCATGGGCACTTCCATCAACGCTCAAATCGGGGGAAACAACGAATACGTGCGCGCTGTACAGAGATTGAGTACCCTAATCTGGGACTATCAGAGGTTTAGCTGAATAGGATTTTGGTTTATAGTATTCATTAAAAATTCAGAAAAATTTGTTTTTCGTTTTGCTGGATCAGTTGCAATTATAGCATATATGAAAGCCTCTTGGAAGTCATTTTTAGTTCGAGTGGACTGTAGAGATGTTGGTGGAATGATCTCAAGATTTATTTGAGTAAAACCCGACTTAAGCTCTTG